CTCGCCTCCCAAGCCCGTCCCTCCGCCCGTCGCCGCTCCTGTTGGTTTTGATTCGAGTATACTTGTATAGTTTTTAGTTTTATTTTCATTCAACTACAGTCTTTCATTGTTTTTTTTTTGTTCCATGTTGTTGAGAGAGATTTTGAAGTTAAGGCTTCTGTCCGAGGATTTGGCGGGACTTGATTCACCATAGCGTACTTTAAGACACACAGCCACATATCCGACATGCATGTAGTCTCCTTACCGAAGGAATAAAGATAAGGTTTTTCTTCCTCGGTAACGAGCGACATCGGCGCCCTCATGTTGACATCGCGCCGCTTATGTAAAATGGATGTCAACTGATACGACTTGCTGTCCAAATTTCCCTATTTAAAATCTGGAGGCTCTGAGAGTAAAATGAAGCTGCGAGTTGGGAAAACGCGCGGGAGGCGAACCGAATTCAGACCCTCCCCGCCCCAGACATGCCGTCGCTTTCGCGGCTTTCGCCGCTAAAAAAAATTTACTTCGCGCGCGCACCCCGAGCCCCCCACCCCCCCCCGGCGCCCCCCCAACCCCCACCCCCCCCCACCCCACCCTCCCCCAACCAACCCCCCCAACAAGACCACCAGCTACGCAGGCTAATTTTAAATTGCTTTCACGATTCCTGCGATTTCTGCATCGGCACGAATATGAAAAAAATACAGGAATTTTGCGGAAGCAGGGCTCACTTTTCTCCTCGCCGGATCGCCGTCTAAGCCCTTAGCCGCACTCGTTTTTCGCGGACCAACGCCGCTAGCTCGAGGCGTTAATTTTTGTGAGCCTGCTCGCAGGCTATGTCGAATCAAGTAAAACACAAGCGAGATTTCTGCTGGCTATGAATTACATTCGATCGACCCGACTGAAATGCGACTTAATGAGACGTATAATTCTGTACAGCTCGTTAAGTAGGGAACAACCACGACGGCCAACGCCGACGACAATAAACGTCGATCAAAAACGCATTAAGCGATGAATCTAAATCTGTTCAGTTTTTGTCTATCGTACCAGGAAGTATCCTTTAGCTTGAATGATAGTAAAGGCATGAAAAAAAAAACATGAAAAATTCGCCGTCATGGTAAACGTTCTCCAAAGTTTCGCAGAATGTCGCAAATTTTTGAAACGTACCAATGAGTATAACGCACGTGCAGAGCCATTGTACTGCTCATTCAAACATTCTGTTTGGCGACGAAGATTGCCGAAAATCCACCCAAGGTCCTCCCGAAGATTTTCGAACGTGATCGGAAGGTCAGCACAATTATTTTCCGATAGTCTCCCCGAAGATTTTCGGAGACCACCCGATGTCTTTATCAACACTAATTTTGCCATTTATGTTACAGAGTAATTGCATGATTCCTCCGTAAAAATTAAGCATTAATATCACTTATGTTTTAAGAAATTTGCACATTATGCCCGAAAACCACTGTGAGTGATGTTATTCCTTATTTTGTACTCGGCCCTCCCATCGATTCACCTATTCGTATATCAAAGAGAGTAAATAATAAACCAAAAAGGAACAAAGGATGGCCTAATATATGCGCCTATCGCATAACGTAGCCATGTCCATTAACATTGCAAAAACGTTTCTTCTTCGACAATTCGTTAAAAATCATAAACTAACATGTATATTTGACATGTACATATGTACCATTGTTGTTGCGGGTTCAGATCATACTGAACACCTTTGCAAACTCAATGGCGATACACAAAAGCAGCGACGCTTCAGCGTTCTTCAATCTTTCAACCTCTTCAGACAAAATTGAGAGAATGTTGTCAAGCTTCACTCATATATGTGGACGCAGCTTTCCCAAACAAAACACCGCGGTCAAACGGTCACAACAAAAATAAACTACACCGTGACAACCCCCATCATTATACCATGTTTTTAAACACGTGAATAACTTTTTGGGTAAACGTTTTTAGAAAAACAAGGTAAATCAGAACGGAATGCTAGCATATAATACAGACCTTTGTGTTTTGATAAGTCTAAGCATTTCCTTTTACCTACTACTTCCTGTTTCCCTTTCGCCACAAAATTGTACTTATCAAGAGTTTTGATTTCGGGTTGTTGCACAATGGTTATTCCTTCACTTCACTATAACTTTTGCCGCGGAAACATGGCCGCGCGGGCGACCAGAATATACGCCTTTGCGTGCATAGCTCGAGGCGTTTGACCGCGGTGAAGACGCCGCATGGCCGAGTGGTTCAGGGGCGCTGGTATTGTAATCTGGAGGTCCCGGTTTCAAGCCCTCCTCCCTGCCACTAGCTGGATTTGTTCTCGGTAGTCCCGAGTTCAACTTCTAGTCCACGCATTGTTAATGGCCAACTGGTTAGCTTCCTGCCAGTTGGGATTCTTGCCCATTGTGATTACTGGCCCTTTCACCCATTACTCAATTCTAATTTGGTACCTTGTAGTTCACTACGTTATGCAGCAAATAAAATGTACTCTACAATCCAACACGACATCATAAATGTCTTGAAGTACTCTAACAAGAATCATCAACTTTCCATCACATCTTTGACATCTTTTGAACAAGGGCTTCACATTGCTTCTCCCAGCTATAGCGCTCTTCGTAACATGTCCGCAATCCTTGAATCTCTTGAAGTCGCTGTGCTCTGTCTTTCAGACGGACGGCTGCGATGGCATTGGCCCACTCTTTAGGGTCGGCGGATTCCACCACAAATGGCTTGCCTAATGGTAGAGCACGCAGTGCATCTCCAAATCCCGAGTTACCACTCGCAAGAATGGGAAGACCAGCAGACAAGGCTTCCAGCGCAGTCAATCCGAATCCCTCCGTCCTGGACGGCATGATGGCGAGATCAACCTCGCAAAGCAACTCTTTCAATCTTGTCTTGCTTTGCACAAACTTTCTGACAAACAGCTGATCTTTAGAGATTCCGGTCTTCAGTAAGTTTTCTGCGACTTCGTCCTGTTTTCCATCGGGTGCGCCCACAAAGATCAGACGATAAGAGCTGTCTTTCAGGTGAACTATTGCTTTAGCAGCAATGTCATATCCTTTGAGACTTAAGTCCTCGGGATCACCTCGGCCAAAGGTTAAAACCTTAAACATACCACGCTCGTTAGCGGCTTGTTTTACGTCTGAAAATTCACTGAATGTGCCTGGAGTCAGCTGAATTATGTCTTGGTGTTTCTCGCATGAGCGGAGGTATGAGGAGTAGGCCTCCTTCAACTTGGGTCCAACTGCCACAACAAGATCTGCCAATTTACATAAGTCTACTTCAGTTCTATTCTTCTCTTCACCTTTGGAAATGGCCATGGGATAGTCTTTGTACATTCCGAGTTGTTCAGGCTCAGTATGAACCACTTGCACCCACTTGCATTTGTGCGAATCTCTGATGACTTGAGCCTGTTTACCAAGCTTCCTTCCATGACCCAGAACAATGTCAACGGCAAGGTCTCTTGGTGGGAAGCTCAACCAGTCAAGGGGATCGTCGTAGCCTGGACGTCTCTCTGCTTCTCTAATGGCAACATTGTGATTTCTAGCGGCCCTCTTCTCTTCTTCACAACAGGCAAATTGTGGCACTAAGAGAGTGACTTGTACTTGCTTGTATTTGGCCAATAGTACCGCAAGCTGTCTGTTTATGGTTGACAAGCCCCCCATTGATGAACTCCACTCACTGGCCAAGAGGGTAACTCTCAGTGCTGTGTCAGACGTCCCTGGATTACCTTGTGATGTGCCAACTATTGTGAAAGGAGGCATAACCTGCAAGAGAACACCACAATTTCTTTATACTACCAGGCTTTACATATACCATCATTTCTTTCCACACATTCTCACTCATCGACAAAACTGATCTTAACAGTATGCGAGATGTTTGTCACATTTGAACCTAGTTATATGGCCTCGCTTCCGCGGGTCTCCTGTAGCTCAGTGGTAGAGCGTCCGACCGGTGTGCGGAAGGTCATAGTTCGACTCCCGTTGGGAGAACTCAGACATTTTTTCCGAGCAGCTTGCTGACTGATTAACATCTTTTTCATATTTCTACCAAGCTTAACATATACCATCATTTCTTTCCTTACATCATTATGATACATTTATCATACCTGGCTTGTTATCTGTGGGAACCATTTCTCCAGACCACGAACAGTGAGTACTTCGTCGCTGAATGTCTCCTCGCAAATCAGTTGTTCTCCTGGTTTCATTTCAAAGAAGTGCAAACAGTCCTCATGCGGACACGAAGGTTGGCTGTGGTTTGCACACTCGTGACTTTCCTGCAGACAGTAGGGGCATGCAACACAGAACTTGTACCGCAGTCCACTCTGGTATGGTGGCTCCTGGGACAAATCTTGCAATGTGCATTCCACGAATAATCGCACACTTTTTGCCACTTCTGCATCTGCAGACGTTGACACTGAAACTGCTTCATCTTGATTTCGGAGCTTTAGAAACAATTTTGATGAAACTCTTTTGCAAATCAGAATCAAATTGTGAATTACCTGCCTCCCAATAACAAACCGAGCTCCATTTAGGTACAGTTTTGGGGCGTGTTTGGCCCCAGTCGTGAGCACCAGGTAATGGCTCTAGAAACAAGCTGCGAGAAGAGTCCATGAGGAACGAACCCAACCACAAAGTGAACATACATTGGACAGGGATCATGGGACGAAGGTTCTACCTCACAAAGGCTTTCTGGTGATGACTTGAGTTGAGCTGGCACAAAGTACTTTACATCAGTTGGAGAGGGTGAGAACTTGGGCGATCAATCCAAACCGCTCCATCATAGTCCAAGATGTCTTTCTTGACAAGGCCTTGCTGGATGAACTTGTAAAACACGTGATCAACAAGTTCCATGCTGAGGACACCGCTTCTCTCGACTTCCCGCCAGTAATTGGAATTTACAGGGTCCTGACAAAAGTATCAAAGCATCATGTCATTCCTTCGAGTTAGGTAAATTCCGTTGTTTTTTTAATTTCTGAGTTTATTCAACAATAACCACAGGTCCCTTTTTCCCATTGTGTAGTAAAGTACAGATGACCCTTCTGTCAGATGTTAAACTGTACTTTTATAATTTAGTAAAAAAAAATTTAGTGTGTAATGATGACTGGAATACATACTGCCAGAGGCGGATCTAAGTGAAGGACTGAGGGGTCGGGCTCCCTTTTTTGTTGAAGAAATGTAAGAAATGGCCCACATCCGTCTTAGTTACATTGTCTGTGGCTACTATTTGGCGCAAGGTTTAATTCATCCGGAATTTGTGTCGTAGGCTTGTTGTAATTATGCGATAAAATGTGTACTGTCTAATTAAATCGGCCCTAACCGAGTATAACCCGGCTTAGTTTCTTACCGTTTTATGAAAAGGTGGAATTGTTATCAGCTGCTTGAATAGGTCAATCAGCCACTGAGCCTTAAGAACAACCGTGCTGCAATGCTTGATAATCAATCCAATGTCATGATAGAAATTAACCAAGGTGGTAAACTCGTCCTCATCATCTATGAAGCACACTTCTCTGGCGTACCTTTGAAGGTGTTCCAGATTCATGTAATAGATGCGTTCAGCAACCAAAGCTTCGATGACTCTTTCGAAATTGAGCCACCTGGAGAGAGAACAACCAAAAGAAACAGGTATATCAGGGAAAAAACAGGTAAATAATACACAACCTAATGCCCTTCGCGGTTAGCCTTTATATTGGAGTTAGGGATTTCAAGTATCCGGTAGCTCGGTGTCGGTGTTCTAGTGGCCATGATTCTCGCCAGCTAATCCATCGTCCGATTCGAGTCTTCTTGGGCTCAAAATTGTTTAACTAAAAAATAAGTACGATAAGTGTGATTGTGCGGTAATCGTGGTGGTCGTGTCTCACGACATGAACTGCGTGTAGAATAGTCACTCCCATTAAAATAAACAGAGCACGGATCCGCTTTAAAAATTAAGTGCAAGGAATCCACTGAATATGAAACCAATATGTTCTCGAGTTCGTTACTGTACATTACTTTACTTGATTGGTATCTTCTCTCCCATGTATGGCTCCTGTTTCAACACCTCCATGATTCTGTTTCGCAGTGCTTCAATTTCGTCATTTCTAGGCATGTCAGTATTTTCTTGCCCTGCAATGTTTAAGTACAGTACGAGCCTGATCATGCTTTAGTTTAAAGAGGTTATTCAGTGGAAAGTTGTGTAATACGGGCGAGGAAAAATAAACATTGACGAGTAAAAATGCCCAGCCGTATTACACAAATTTCAGCTGAATAAATTGTTTATTATACGACATAATTATTTGCTAAAATATAGGCGTTCAACAGTGTTTTCCGTAGCGCGTGGTCAGGGGGACAATGAGAATACGGTATCATATTTGCACTCGTTTTGGTGCGTATTCGCACTCCAAAATGCTATGTCGTATAATAAATCAAGTGCCTTATTGGTACCATCAGTATTCTAATAGGGACAAACCGCCGCTAAACCACCGTTGTTAGAATTTCTGATCGTCACACAAGCTCAGTTCAACGATAACATCCGTTCCATTTTGAAGACTTACCACAAGCCACCGAATGGGAAAAATGATGTTTTTACAATAATATGGTAAAAGTCTGCACTCGGGCTAAAGATACTCACATCACCGGCGACTTTAGCCGACAAAATTAAGGGAATATTGCTATTCCCGCTGGAATGGGATGCAAAGTCCCCTACATCGGCAAGCTGTTCTACCCTCTAGCATTTTTTCTGGTTTCCCTGAGTGGAAAGAGACACTGTGAGCGGTACAATGCCCTTAGCCACGCTTGGATCCGACGGAATCGAATTTCAACATGCAAAGTGAACAAACCATTTTAGTCCACCGAGCCTCTTCCCCCCCTACTCATAATAATATAATGTTTCAGTGGAGTATCATAGTTTATATTTCCATCGGTCGTTGCGTATCACTCCTCAGATCAAGGCATTCTTTTCTCAAACAGTGCCGGTGTTCTCTTTAAATTAACTTTTACGTACTATTTAAAAACAATTAGATACGCGGGCTCGACAATCAACTATCCGCATCATAGAAATTGAGAGCGAGTATTTTGTCAATAACTAATCGTTTTATTAAAAATTCATAACAATTTGTCTCAGTAATAACTCTAAATCTTCTTCCGAAACTTCGGAGGCGAAGAAAACGAGAAAGAAACCGCCAATTTTGTCAGGACGAGCCCTCCAGCCATTGCCCACACTAATGGCCTCCGATATGATGTACAAACGCAGGTAAACTCAGTCAAGCCAGATTGTCTACATTGTGCAATTAGGTCAAAAATCCTTCCGATCTAGTATACTAATGCAACACCATGAGCGCCAATTTCGATTGGTCAGAGCTACTCGTATACTCATCAGCCGATTAGCTATAATTGTACGTCAGGGTGCATTGATAGAGAAATTCTACGTGCTCTCATTTGGTCCAGAGACGAAATGGCGTCATATCCCCGCTTATAAATCACCCAGCCGCGGCGATTGGCTGGGCATATATAAGAAGCAGCCGAGTGTTTAGGAAACTTAATTTTTGTTAAAAGTCGGCACACCGTTCCATTCCCCACCCTCGCCGATTTTTGTCGATGTTTCCGAAGATGAAATGAGAAAATAAATAATGATGAAAGAAAATGCAATTCCGAAAACGCACTTAAAGATGCAACACGAGAGAGTTGTCGGAATTAAGTAAACACTATCTTTTCAAAGTGATAAGACAAGATGTTGAAACGTTTTGCTAAATACGGTAAATAGAGTTAATAACCTTTTAAATTCTGGTGGAAAATGTTGCCGATGTCGATATGCGTGAGTAATCTTAATCCAAAACAACAATAACAATTTTAGCAATACTTTCTTCATTTAACAGGACTGGTCTTCAACAAACAAACCCAATTTGTACTACCGAATTTGGGGGGAAACGATGGAAGTGAACGAGATGAATAAATGTCTCATCAAAGTTCTACGTTCCAGTGAGGAGTTTTCAAAGACGGAAGTTTTTTACAAGCGAACGAGTTTGTTATCGGTCCGTGCGGCTCCGATCGCCATTTGAAGTCCCCTCCGCACAACAAAAAATTTTCAATCTGCGACAACAACTTGTTCAGTGACGCCAACCAAAACACTGAATTCTTACCTTAAACACGCTCGTCCAACGAGGGAAAAATAGCTGGCACAGTCCATAAAAATCCGTTAACCGGTGAATGAAACCATCCAGAAAGTGTACGAGAAAAGAGAGCTAGCTGCATGCAGATACGCCGTGGAATCCTCGAGTTTTACTCCAAACAGCCTGGTTCTTTGTCTCCATCTATTTTGGTAAAATGGGAAGAGAAAACCAAAGTTCACTCGAAGAAGTCAATGCTTCGTCGCCTTAAAACTGCTAATGGGAGAAGAAATTCTTCGAGTTGAACAAGAAACGAGCACGGAGCAGTAACTGGCAAGCAAGAATCACACGGGAGAACTTGACGGACGTCTGAAGATCCACTCAAACGGGAAAATCTTTCCTGAGGGCCAGTTCAAGAAGATGCCCAGTCGAAGTCTGGAAAAGCATATCTTAGCCACCTGAATCCCAACTCGGAAGCGTTATTCCAAAAGCCAAAAGACCAGGCTCCGCCAGGTTTAACCCTGAAACAGACAAACATCGGGTATGAAGGCGAACGCAAAACTCTGGCAACAATACCCTGGGAGAATTTGCTGAGAAGAATGACAGAAAAGCAGTGGAATCGGACCTTACCTGGACCAACCATTCACTGAGAGCGACAACAGTCACTGTTTGGTCTGCAAATAACATTGAAACGCGTCAAATTAAGGCAATCACAGGGCACAAGAGCGATTCAAGCATTGAAAGCCTACTGTGAACGACCGGACCGCCTCAAACCAGTTTAAGGAAATTTCGACATCCCTCACCTCCTCCATCCACGGAGAAGAAAGTCGCTAAAGTCTGGTCCAGTCACGTGGCATTTCCAGGTGCCACATCTACAGTTCCTACACAGTATCCCTCAAGCGATCGAAG